CTCCTTCATCCTTTCTTTTCTTCATTATTTCTTTTGCTAGTCTAGATCTTTTGTTTCTCCAAATGAATATTATCATTTTGTTGAGATTTATAAAACATCTCTTTGGTAGTTTCATTGGTAAAGCATTAAACTATAAACTAACTTTGGTAGTATTATTATTTTTATTATTTTGGCATGGTTTAGCCATGAGCATTGATTACTCCTCTAAGTTTTTAAGTTGTCTGTGTAATTCTTGATAATGTCTTTCCATAAATCTTTCATAGAGGATCTATTCAGTGTACGGGAAATTTTCATCTATCTCTTTTAATTTTTCATAGATTCCAGTGAAATTTGTAGTCAGGGTAGTAGGAGATAAAGCTGGAAATATAAACTAAGGAGTTTTTGCTTTATCCTGTAGGCAATGAGGAACCACCAAAGATTTTCAAATTGCAGATTAATATGATTGCAGCTAATTCAGTGAAACATCAATCCCTTCTTTCCCATTACTTTGAAGAACTGGATCAAGAGGTAGTCACACCCATATCATCTGTGGTTTTATGATATTTTGGGTTCAGGGAGAAATTAATATATGGATAGGAGGCAAATGAAACCATATTTGATGGCAATGTGCAAGAATGTTAATTAAGCAATAAAGCATTGAATCGGTCAGGGTTTTTCTCTTCAGATTATCTTGGTTTGGATTGAATTGGATAACTTGAGATGAGCTATGTGTTTAATTGATTGGAAAAGATCAAAGCTGTGGTTGGGCACAATAGACTATAAAATGCATTTTGTGCCAGATGGGGTGAAAACATGACATGTGGTCCGGAAGTAGGCCTGAACTGGAAAAAGTTAGGACATTTTGAATTCAACAAGATCTCAGATCTCAAATCTGATTCCTTTGACTTGATAAAGCCTTATGACTTAACATCTAGAAGGAGCGTATTAAATTACAAGAATTTTTTTTAACAAATATTCTGGGATTTACATTTAATGATAATGATTGTGATGACAGCTGACACTTATAGAGCACTGACTGTGTGCCAAGCACTGTGCTAAGCACTTTACAATTATTATTCCATTTGATCCTCAAAACAACTCTGGGAAGTAAGTGCTATTATTATCCCCATTTTATAGCTAGGGAAACAGGGCAAACAGAGGTTAGTCCAGGTTTATACAGCTAGTAAGTATCTGAGGCCAGATTTGAACTGAGGTCTTCCTGACCCCAGGTCTGGTGTTCTATCCACCACAGCACCTAACTTCCTATAAGCAGTTCATCTGATCATAGAGGCCAATTTCCTCATTTTACAGTTGAGGAAACCAAGTCACACAGCCAGTAAGTGTCCAAGGGGGAATTTGAACCCAGGTTTTCTTGATTCTGTCATCTATGCCATTTCACTGTTGCCTCTTACAAAGTAATCACCTTGGAAGACCAAATACTTACTCCAAAAACACTGTCAACGTTCAAAAATGTTTTGGAACTCCTCTTACAGTTAACCAGAGCTGAGCCTGGTGTGCAGAGCTACTTCCTTGCTCCCAGGTCTATTCATTGTTGGGCTGGATCCCCCAGGTCAGGTCTTAGGGCTGTCCATACCACCATGGTCAAGCCTTTGGTTTGGCTTTAGGAAAACTGATATGGACTCCAATTCCTGAACCCCTGGTAGCTCGCTATTCTGACACCTCAAAGCTCACCAGGTCTCCTAAAATCAGGAAGGAATTGACACAGCAGTGACAGACAAACAGCCACACCATGCTCATGGCTATGTGTTGGTGTGGGTGGGGGAAGAGTTGGCTGCTGGCTCTATCTCTTCCCTCCTGGAGGCTTACAGAAATCTTTGTCTCAGTCACCACCAAGAAAGAGAGACTGATCTGGCCAGTCAGTGAGTGCCTTTTGTAGATGTACTTGGTTCTGGCTCAGTGGCCTATCAAAAGGTATTCCTCCGTAAGTGAGTAATCACACAGGAAACAGTTCCAGAATACCTTCAAATGCACTGAAGTGGAGAGCTCCCCTTCCCTTCCCAACCTCTACAACATCAGGTACTTTTGGAAGCAGTCTCACCAAATGCTTATACTCTCATAATTTGGCCCTCATTGGATAGTTCCCCGTAACATAAAAAGCTTCAAACGCTTGGTTGTCTTCATTCCAATTGGGGTTGGAGGTAGGGCTAGTGATAAGATTATCATTATGAAAATAAAAAGAAGAAAAAAGTAATAAAGAGGATCATTGAGGCGTTTAAAATGTACAGAAGAGAACAGAAGGAAGGTCAGCAGGAAACAGACTAGCTGGACTGCTTCAAAAATAAAATGTTAAATTTATTATATACTTACAAAGAAAAGCAAGCTGTATGTAATATAGATTCAGAACTTCATCTACAATCTTTCCCTCCCCTTCTTTTTTATATAGGGATATACTTGTCTTGTATTGTATTCGTTAATAATTTAAAAAAAAACCCTAAAAGGCTACAGCTCCCTCTGTCAATCTCATTATAAAATCTGTACAGCCCTTAACAACTTCAGTATGCTCTAAATTGGGTTATGGTTAAGAAAGGTCCCATTGCTTGAGTTGTAGATATGAGAGTCCTTGCATTTCCCAGAACTGGAGCAGCAATGATTGGTGTCCCAGTAGGCGGAAATACATGTCCCTTTGTATTCTTTGTGTGAGACCACTGCTGGTTCATATGCTAATGAGTAACTCTATATAGTGCCCCAAAAGTCTTAGCACAGTTTGAAATTTAATGGCTTAAAAAGCAAGAGCTCCTGTTGTCCCATTTCCTCACCCGTATTGATTCATAACCCTCCCTTTGGTTTGGGTAACTTCAAAGAAGCTCCTAAGTCTGGGCTGGGCCTCTGGGCCACTTTTGTAACATCAAATCACTCCAAAGGTTAAGGCGGTAACCAGACAAGTGAAGAACGACTACTACAGATACAACAGGAGGAGCTCATCCCTGCTTTTTATTCAAAATGAGCCCCCACAACCCCCAACCCCAAACAGCTATGGTCATTCATAATCCTCCCTCCTGGAAGGTTTCTCACATCCAGTCTTTTATTTCTTTTATGTCCTCTTCAACTTCCAATATCTTTTAGTATCTGGCTTCACAGCCAATGAAATATATATACTGACTAGAATGTCATAAATATTTACTGTCAGCTGCCTAGCAATTCTGTAGTTTTATTTAGTTTGCCTTGTGGGATTATAAGGAAATGCTTTTCCTCCTAGTATTTGATTTTGCAAACTTGGGCAGTGCAGGAGGGAGGAATGGAGCAGCAAGGCAGGGGAATCTTCTGTCATTAGAAATTTCCAGTTATACCTCTTGTGAGAGAATTTGTCTTTTGGAGGTGGGAGAATGGGGAGGGCTGATCTGGATTTGTGATTTCATGGTGTGGGGGAACTCTGCTCACCTTTGCAGAGATCACTCTCCTGTAACTTTTAGTCTTCGTGAGTTGCCTGGGGTACTGAGAAATATGATTTGTCCATTGTTACTAGTGTGTGTCAAAAGAAGGATTTGAACATGGGTCTTTCTCATTTCAAAGTCAGCCCTCTATCCACTAAGTCACACTGCCTCTCATTTGAGATCATAGAATTTCAGGGAAAGAGATCATCTAAACTCTACTTTCATTTAAAGAAACTGAGGTCCAGAGAAGCTCCATAATCAGGGGCCAGTTTTAATGATAGAGACATAGACAATCCAGTTCTTTCCCCCCCACTACTGGAAGCCATATTACCTTCCCATATTTGTACTCTTAAGAGTACTCTAATCCAATTTAGTGCTAGAGTGGAGCAAAATAGGCAAGCATGTTAAATGACACTGCATGTCTTTTAGAAGGTAGATGAAGTACTATATATTAAAGTTGCATCGTGTAGTAAATGAAAAAACAACTTTGGAATCTGGATTCAATTCCTGCCTTTGATGCATATTCTCCATCTAACCACTGGGAAAACCACCTAATTTCTCAGTGTCCCAGGCAACTCCCTGAGAGTATGCATTAAAAAAGGAGTTGATAATCTGCTGCCTGTGAAGGTGGAATTCCCTCTACCACTGAAATCACAGGCCTGAACCTACCCCAAAATGTGGTGGTGGGAGTCATTGCAAATGCCCTGGACAAACATTCCCAGGAGTCAGCAAGATGGCAGGTCTGGAAGTCCAAATTTAATGTGCTTTGACAGGATCTGATAAGGAGGAAGATTTAGTGGGAAATAAGTACATTAAGGACAGAACCATCTGTCCACTCAAAGGAAATACAACACACTGTTGTATATATCAGTGCTGTCAAACTCAGATAGAAACAGGGTCCACTAAACCATACCTAAGGATCCTCACTGGCTACGTATTGAATCAGAAAACCATATATTAACAATATTTATGTTCTACTGTATTTTTATTTATTTGTTAAATACTTCCCAATGACATTTTAATCTGGTTCTGACAGCACTCAGTGTGGGCCATTGTTTTTCCTTCCACCAGGAAACCCCTTCCCTGGGTATTTAATAACTTTGTGAATTGATTAGCTCACATATATTGGCTGTTCTTGGAAGGTAGATTGGAGGAGGTAAGAGTTGAGATTGGAGTCCAATTCTTTGGTCAGGCTATCTCCACCGGACCCAGCACTGACTCCTTCCTCCTCCTCATTCCTTCTTTCTCCACTTCTCTTCTCTCTCCTCTAGCCTTCTCTTCCTTTTCCCTTTCTTTCCTCTCTGCCTAACTCTCCTTTCCCTTATTCTGCAGGATAGAAATCTGCAGGAGACCTTTCCTAGCTCCTCCAGCTTCTAGTGGCCTCCCCTCTACCATCCATCTACTCTCTCTATACGCTTACTTATATGTTGCCTCTTCTGTTAAATTACCAGTTCCTTTTGGGAAGGGACTGTTTTTAACTTTTCTCTGTATCCCCAGTGTTTGTATAGTACCTGACACACAGCAAACTCTTAATAAATGCTTTTGATTAATTTATTGACTGGAAAACATCTTTATTATTCAGCAATATAGTAGGACATAAAGATGAAGTTTACATTGACAGTTATTGGATGTCAGAATATGTTATATGAAGAAACTGTGGAATTTACTTTCTAAGGAGTCCTTCCTTTGGACAAAAGTAAGTGACTTTTCAAGTGCCTTGAAATCTCAGGATTTTGTAATTCTGTCTTTGAGACTTGAAATCAATAATCCTCAGAGCTGAATGACACCCAAAAGGCCAAGTCAAAATCCTTCATTTTATAGATGAAACCTACAGGACCAGTCCAATATCACACATCTAGTTAGGGGCAGAGTGCTAAACACAGAGCTTTATTCCACTGTATTGCACAACTTCAGATTATGATTCCCTTTCCTCAGCCAGCCCTCAAATTGCATAGCCCTGCATAGTGGAAGTAAAATCAAACACGGCTAGTTATAAGGTGAGTGCTGATGCTGTCCGATGGCACATGCCCAGTAATAGAACTCTTTGTACTTGCTCTTGGGGGGTTTAGCACACAGGAACTACACAGGCGTTTCAAACCTGCAATTTATTCATTAGTTACATGTATGACAAACTTAAAGTATAAAGAACAAGAGGTCAGGATCAGTTAAGTAACAATGCCAGAGAGGGACAGAGATACTATAATCTGTGTATCCTTGGCACAGACAGCTATAGAAGCTTCCAGTCTCAAGCTTTCCCTAGGCAGGACAAACACAACTGGCCAAAGGGTGATTGAGAGTCAATGACTGAATGGGTGGCCTTTGTGAGTTAGGTGCAGGAGTTCATCCAAGAATGATCTTTGTCAGCATGATGCAGCTTGGAGAGGGATGAATCTCCTTTGAAGGGTGAGGGGCTTCAGCTTGAAACCAAAGAGCAGCATTGTTAACTTGGAGGTCAGAGAAGGTCCCTTGGTCTTTGCCTTCTTCTGTGGTCTCCAGTTCTGGTGGGTTATATCTGAGGAAGTGCCCCAGGGATCCTCTTACAAAGACGACTGACTCTGCCTTTACAAAATTTGTGGCGTGGTCCCATTTTTGGATTTCTCCCTGTGGATAAGAGAGGAAGGATTGGGTGTGGGAGGAATGATGGATCAAGAAAAGGGGAGGGTAGGGGGAGAGGGGACGACAGAAGCAGAGAGAAATAGGGAGAAAAAATGTACAGAGAGAAAGAAAATGGGGAAAAAGAGAAGAGGAAGAGAGTCAGAGAGGAGGGAGGGAAAGAGAGAGAGAGAAAGAAAGAGAAAGAGAAGAAGAAGAAGAAGAAGAAGAAGAAGAAGAAGAAGAAGAAGAAGAAGAAGAAGAAGAAGAAGAGGAGAAAAGGAAGAAGAGGAGGAGAAAGGAGAAAGGGGAGAGGGGACGGGGGGAGGAGAGAGGGAGAAAGATTTTGATTAAATTAGGACAAGCCAGACATATGTTTACAAAATCAAACACTAACAACACATGGGTGACGGTATCCTCAGCCCCATTACAGTGAAGTGAAAACTTTGTTTTATTAGTAGATAACAGAAGGTGGTAGGGAATCTTATGTCTTAAGAAAACACATTTTAAAAGGTTTGCAAATTTACCCTTGACTTGCCAAGAGGAAAAGCACAGGTCTGCCCCAGCTCACAGAACTTTGGTGATTCTGTTGTCTCCAGGAAAAATACCAACTCCTCTGTTTAATATTTAAATTCCATCACAGTGTGTCTCCAGTCTTTCTTTTCCAGGCTGCTTGAACATTACTTCCCTCCCATATAATATATTCAAACTGTCTTACTTACTGTTCCCTGTAAATCAATGTATCTATAAATCTATCTCTCTTTTCTCTGTCTCTATCTCAACCAAGTTCATGGACACTGAGCTAACTGCAGATCTAATCTAACTATGAAAAAGGTCTTCAGACTGAGATCCAGACGTTAAGTGACTTCCGATGAGCAAATCTAATGATCTTAGTACTATACCATTCCTCACTCTGCCCCTTCTCCTCCTCTGGCGACTATGGGATTTCGAGGAGGGAGCAAAGATTAGTACTTTCCTAAACCCAAAGAGGAGCCTTTGGAGCTGTGAAAGATCCCACTCCCCCACTCCCCTCCCTCCGCACCCCCCCACTTTTTTCCCTATCAAAATGATTGGTGCAGAGGTCATGGAAATAAATGGCTATAATACTAGCTTCTGGCAGCCCCAAAGGAAGAGATTGAATGGGTTACCTTTCAAACTCTTGAGTGCATAGTGTGGAGCATTCTGGCAGCAGAGAACTTTCTGGTGGCTAACTCGTCTTACACCTGTGAAGACATAAACAGAAACATTTCCAGTTTGCTGTAATATGATTATTACACCTGTGTGCACACAGAAGTACATGTGCTCATGTTGAATGAAATCAGATAGTGAAATTGTGAATTCTAAGCATTGGGTTTGAAGCCTCAGCTCAGAGAGGTTAAATCACTTTCCCAAGATTGCACATTCAGTAAGTGTCTAAGGCAAGATTTGAACCAAATTATTCTGCCTCCAAGTGCAGAATTCTGTCCACTATATTATCTCCATTATACCAGGTCCCAAGTTGTGAGGAGCTTGCCATCCATTTGGAGAGGGGGAGCATTAAAATTTAAATGACTATAATGACATGATTAAGTATTCAATGAAAGGTAGAGCTAATAAGTGCTTTCTAGCTCAGAGGAGGGAGAGATCACTGTGTGCTGGAGTAGTCACGTAGGTAGGCTTTCTGCGTTTAGAGAAATTCTCACTCGTTGACAATGAAAATTCACAGGGACCTGGAATTAATTTTCTCTTCTTCCCTCTCCCATTCTTCCTTGCTCTCCTGAGCTTCAAAGAATAAACTTAGCGAAATCTGAGTTTTCCATTGTCATCTTTTCTGAAAGGCAATAGAATGATTATTAGCTCTTAAACATATACACCTCTCTTCTCATCTAAGGCAAATTTTCATTTTCATTTCCTTTTCCAGGAATGGAGAGGATAATAAGCCCATTCATTCTGTGTGTGGACAAGCTGGGAGGTCCTCTGCACATACAATATACTCTGACATTTATAAAACTGAATTTCACAGACTTTGAATAAAAGTCAGCATTTTCTAGACAGCAGATTGGTATGCTGGTGAAAGGGCTGAGCTCAGTCAGAACGACCTGCCTATATGATTCTGGGTAGGTCATCTAGCCTGTTGGGGTCTCAGACAACTACATTGGTAGAGGGAGTTTCCTTACCTGAAGTCCCCTATACCAATGATGTCAGAAGCCTGGACAAAAACAAAAACAAATGAACAAACAAAACCTTCTTGACAACTTATCATTCATTCCAGGTTGAAAAAGACTCAGTCTGGAGACTAGACTGGTGAGAAACCTTGGAATCCAGACATCAGCTCTTCAGATCAAGGGGAGATATCAGAATTCAATCTCTATAGCCAGAGCGCCAAATATTCCATTTTCAAAGGCCCCTCAGAATCTAGAAGCAGTGCCTTTATCTTGGACAAGTCAGACCATTTTTATTGTCCCTTTACTGTCTTCCCAAGTTTTTTGTCTGGAAGTTTATAGTATTTCTTAGGCAAAGCCTAAGTGATGCCTACGAATAGGGACCGGGGTAGATGCTTAGAAGCTTCAGAAAACCACATATCCATTACTATGACTTTCATAAAGCACTCCTAACTAGGCTCAAAGCCTAGCCGGCTTTTCTGGAAATCTCTGTAGAATGGTCTCTTGGGGTGGGGGACCTGCAGCCTCGAGGCCACATGTGGCCCTCTAGGTCCTCAGGTGTGGCCCTTTGACTGAATCCAGACTTCACAGAACAAATCCCCTTAATAAAAGGATTTGTTCTGTAAAACGTGGACTCAGTCAAAAGACCACCCCCCAGGACCTAGGCGGCCACATGTGGCCTTGAGGTTACAGGTTCCTCACCCCTGATCCTGAGCCTATGACTGTAACAGGGAATTTTCACACCCAGACTAAAGACCATGAATGACACCAAGATCAGATTGCATGAAGTTTTCAGGTAAATGACATAGTATTGAACTGGTCACCATCCAGCCTTTGTAAGGGACACTGCCATCAGGGGGCCAGGGAATGGGGAGGTGGGACATACTGGCATTCTACCCATTGCTGGGGAGGCTGATGAAGAGGGAGAAATGGTGGTAGGGCTGACAGGAGTAGGGGACGGACAGAGTCAGATGAAAAAGGAGCTCTTCTCAATTAATTAATCAACTAATAAATAGTTATCATGCGCCTTCTATGTATCAGTCACAGTGTTAAGCACTAGAGATACAAAAAGAGGCAAATGACATTCCCTGCCCCTAATGAACCCTCCCTCCACTATCTGATAGCTTTCTGTTTCAACTAATTATTCTTGAAGACTGCAAGGACTGTTAGTGCCTTAACTTTGGCAGTCTCTAAATTCGGTGCCATGGGACAAAGCTCCAGTTGTCCCACCCTAGTCATGCCTTTGCCCAAAAAGGCCAAGCTAAAAAAGAAATCAAAGCCTTGCGACCCACTTTCTCAGAGTAAGGCCATACCTTCTGTAGAGAAGGCCAGCAAACAGAGGAACAGGATATACAGCAGGCTGGAGAGGGTGGGGAATTTCATGCTGGTGATATCAGGTGCCCTCAGTCTGTGCAACAGTGAGGATCAGCAGGCTAAATTTGTCAGCCTTTAAATACCAGCCGACTTCGTGTGTCTTAGTATGGGTGTGGAGGTGCTCTTTGTATTTTCCCTAAGGGGAAACTTAACTCCTCCCAAGAGAGAAAGTGCCAGCTAGATGAGGGGAAAAACTGGTTTGTGCTATGCACGCATATTTCAGAGGCCTCCAGGTGAAACTGACTCAGGATGTCAGGAAATGCCTGGCTTGGGAGTAGGGCACAGCCAAGGCCAAACCTGAGGCGTAAGGTGGTCATTTCTGTCTGGCGGCATTTACTATCTCAGGGTTGAACTTTGGTATCAATTAGAGCTAAGCAAATGTAGATTCTCTTTCTTATGACCTAGATGGTTAGATAAAGAGATACACAGTTACTGAAAGAATAATAAATTCTTGCAACAAAGTTTGCAGGTAGCAGAGGATTAAAAAAAAAAAGATATGGTAGATTCTAACAGTTGGGCCTTTTTTTTTTGATATAGAGTCCTTGAAGTAAGATGGCTTTGGAGTATAGAGTATGGTGAAGTGAGCTTCCTATGGGTCAGTTGCCGTGGAAAATCCAATGGACAATTCACAGAATCAAGAATTTGTGAATTGGAAGGGACTTCAGTGATTTCAGTATCTAGTTCAACCCATTTCGAAAGAAATCCCTGCTATAATATATATGAGAATCCATCAGTCAACAAGCCTTTATTAAGAGCTTACTATGTTTCAGGTACAGTGTTAAGTGCTGGGGATAGAAAGGAAAGAAGGAAGGAAGGAAGGAAGGAAGGAAGGAAGGAAGGAAGGAAGGAAGGAAGGAAGGAAGGAAGGAAGGAAGGAAGGAAGAAGGAAGGAAGGAAGGAAAGGAAGGAAGGAAGGAAGGAAGGAAGGAAGGAAGGAAGAAAGGAAGGAAGGAAGAAAGAAAGGAAGAAAAGAAGGAAGGAAGGAAGAAAAGAGAAAAAAGAGAAAAGAGATATCTCTCCTCCCCCCAAAAAAGAAAAAAACAGTCCTTGCCCTCAAGGAGCATACATTCTAATGCGGGGAAACAATACGTAAGTAGCTGTGTGAACAAAATGTATCCAACTTATATATGGAGATTTCCAAGGAGGGGAACCCACCATCTCTAGGCTACTCCTTTCACTTTTGTGCAGTTCTAATTAAGAAGATTTTTTTCTGGCATCAATAATAAGTCTCTTTGCAAATTCCATCCATTGAGGCTAGCTCTGTCTTGGGCCAAACAGAAAATCGAATCTCTCTTCCATGTGACAGCCCTTTGCACACTTCTAGTCAGCTATTATGTCCATTCCTGCCTCTCCAGTCTTTTTTTCCCCAGGAATCCTCAGTTTCTTCAACCCATCCTCATGTGATATAGATGGCACTTCACTATCTTGGTTGCTCAGCTCAGTATCCTGGCTCCTCTGCTGTCTGCCCCACATCACAGCCTAGGGGTTTATAACCTCTGCACCGTGAACCCTTTGGAAGAGTGAGGATCACAGAACTATCATGAGGAGTTTATATGTGGTCATGTATTTTTTCAACCAATTGATACAACAGTACTGATACAATCAGGAATATTTGATACCTTAACCCAAAAGAATGACTAATTGTAGAGCCAAAGGATGTTATAATTGGAAGGGCCTAGAGATCATCTGACACAATCTATTCTCTTATTTTACAAATTAAGAAACTGAAGCTCAAAGAGAAGTCTGCCAGGTCAGGGGCAGATTATTTTCCTAATTATCTCTCTATATAGCCTGTGTCTCTTCCCTCAGTTTCCATAGCACTTCATTTGCTTCTTTCTCCTATTTCTTTAATCATTCCTTTTCTATCTCTGTTGGCCACCCTTTTTCATCCTATTTGCTTAATACAAGAGTTGCCCAAAGCTCTGTAATTGAACTCCTTCTCTTTTCTCTATACCATCTTCCTTGGTGAGCTCATCCATTCCCATGGCTTAGACTATCTATGTGGACAATTTAAAATTTTTTCTTGAGTCAGTACTCCTGAGCTGTATACTAGAATTTCTAACTATAGCTTTCAATTAACTATCCTTTTCTACTGAAGACTTTCTCTTCCCTTAGCTTCAGAGATGCCATACTTCCTGGTTATCATCTAACCTTTCTAGCTACTCCTTGATTTGGCTGGCTCCTTATTCTGTTCTTGACATCTTTTTTAATTTATTTTTTTTTAATTTTTAGGCAATTGGGGTTAAGTGACTTGCCCAGGGCCACACAGCTAGTTAGTGTCAAGTATTTGGTCTGAGGCTGGATTTGAACTCAGGTCCTCCTGATTTCAAGGCTGGTGTTCTATCCACTGTGCTACCTAGCTGCCCTTGACCTCTTAAAATGGGTATTCTCTGAGGACACATACTTGGCTTTTTCTACATTCTCTCCCTTGGCAATCTCATCTGATCCCTCCACTCCAACTACGAGATCTTTGCAGATGAATCTCAAATTTGTATTACCATGCCTGACCTCTCTTCTCAACTTCCAACTTACTTCTCCAACTAGCTACACAACGTTTCTAGTAAATGTCCCACTTACACCTCCAATTCAAAGTGTCTAAAACCACACTTAATATTTTTAACTACAGTAGAATCATACATATCTTGTCTCCCACGTTTATAATCTTGGATTAATCTCTAGTTCTTTTTTCTCCCTCCACTCTCAGAGTCAATAACTTACTGGGTCCTCTCAATTTCACCTCCATAATATCTCTCATACCTGCCCCTTCCTCTCTATTTTCCCAGCCACTACCCTGATATAGGCCTGGACAATTGCAATTGCTTCTTGAGAAGAGGTCTTCCTGCATTCACTCTTTACAACTCCACATCAGAATGATCTTTCTTATGCATGGATCTGATCACATCATTCTTCATTGACTCCTTATTACATACCTAGTAAAAGTTCAGATTCTTCTGCCTGGCATTCAAGGCCCTCCATAATTTGGTGCCATCCGGTCTTGTATTGCTTCTCTCTACTTATTCAATATGGCAGCAAAACTGGACAATTTGCAGTGTTCTGCCTTCACCAGGCTCTCATGCTCTGATTGTTTTGCTCAAGTTATTACAGAAATACATTCCCTCCCTATTTTTGTCTGTTGAACTTCCTACTCATCCTTGAAAGTCCCAAATGCTACCTTTCCCAAGAAGCAAAATTGGTACTGGTTAGTAATGACCTTCTCCCTTAGACATCATATGATACTTTGTTTTGTAACTCTCTAAAATACGCTTTTGCATCTTAAAGCTATCTGTAACAACATTGCACACGGTAGCAGCAACATTGTGCGATGACCAACTTTGATGGACTTAGCAATGCAATGATCTAAGACAATTCCAAAAGACTCATTATGGAAAATGCTATCCACACCCCGAGAAAGAACTATGAAGTCTGAATGCAGAACAAAGCATACTGTTTTCTCTCCTCTTTTTTTTCTCTTTGTTGTGGCTTTTCCCTTTTGTTCTGATTCTTCTTTCATGACATGACTAATGTGGAAATATGTGTAACATAATTCTACGTGTGTGGTCTATATCAGGTTGCAGGCTCGGTCTAGGAGGGGGGAGAGGAGGGATGGGAAAAATTAAGAACTCAAAATCTCATACAAGTGATTGTTAAAAGCTAAAACTAACTAAATAAAATATTTTAAAAAATCTATCTACACTTACATGATTTTGTGTGATTTAGGGGCTAGGATGCTTTCATGCAACTCCATTGATGAAAAATTGGAAGGCAGAGTTGGTGGGAAGTTGAAAAGGCTATATCAATCAATTAATCAATAAACATTTATTAGGCACCTGTGCCAGGCACTATTATATTGAGCACTGGGGGGGGGGTATAAAAAGAGGCAAAAGACAGTCTGTGTCCTCAAGGAAATTATCTCTTGGTGATCTCATCAGCTCATACGGATTTAAGTAACATTTCTGTTTTGGAGATTTCCAGATCTGTGCCTCTCTCCTGAGTTCTGGTCCAACTTCACCAACTGCCTATTGGACATTTTCATCTGCACAATCTATAAGAATCTTGAACTCAACAGGTTCAAACAGAACTCATTATCCTTCCTCTCAAATCTATCCCTCTTCTAAATTTAAGATCATAGATATAGAGCTGGACCTAGAAGTCATGTAATGCAACCTCTCCTTTTACAGAAGAGTAAACTGAATCCCAAGGTGGTTGAGTGACTTGTCCAAGATCACACAAGTGATTGATACATTAAGTGTCAATAAATTAATCAATTGAAAACACATTAAATATAATCCAAGGAGGAAGTTCTGAATCTCTGGCATGAAGGGCTGATAAGGCAAGGCAGGTATGGACACAAATCTATGAAGGATTAACATGCTTTCATGCAACTCAAGTGATGAGATAAACATAGGAATTATTGAAAGGCGGAGTTGGTTGGGAGCAGGAAAGACTACAGAAAAAGCAAAATGACGAAGTTAAGAGTGTTGTTCTCACAAATCTCCTAGGAGAAAAAGAAAAAAAAACAGTAAGAAAGCAAATCTGTCAAAGATGAAATGGAGTGTGAAGCAAGTGTTGATTTTAAGAGAGTTAAGCTACTGAACTAAGGAAAGTTAATTAATTCCTAATTATCTAAAGATGATTGTGTTAAAAAAAGCTATGGGAAGCAAATAAAGAAATATTAGGGGGAAATGAAGGAATATAAATTGGGAAACCTGGGTGTCTTACATTTTAGGTGCGACAGAATTATCTAGTAAAAGGGTTGTTAACCTTTGTTGTATCCTGGACCCTTTTGGTAGGCTGGTAAAAGACAGCTGAAATATAGTTATCAATTTCTTTTTTAAAAAGCTAACAGATCCCAGGTTAAGAAGCCCTGATAATAAGTTAAGGAACTTCATAGTAAGGGTATTGGATTTGGACTCATAAGGTCTTGGTTTTCCCACTTATTAACCTGTGGGACCCTGGACAAGTCACTTATTAACCTTTGTGAGCCTCAGGCCTCTGGTCTTTGAACTCCCTTTTTGGGGGGGAGGTTGGATTGGATGACCACTATGGTCCTATCCAGCTTTAAATTTCTCACCC